AAGAGTCTGTAATGAGCCACCTCAGTTCAAATACAGAGAACAACCCGCCCTTGGAATAACCTCCCCAGGGAAGTGGTGACTCCCCAGTGTTGGACACTTAAGATTCAGCTGGACAGGGTAATGGGACATCAGTTCTAGATCATGCTTTGCCAAGAAAGGTTGGACCAGCTGATCCTTGAAGTCCCTTCCAACCTGGAATTCTGTGATTCTATGGATCTATGAGGTTGACTGGACACAGCTTCCTACTGATACATACAGCATAGAATCAAGCCCTGCCTGCTGGGAACTGAACTGAGGATGCCAAAGAGAAGTCAGACGGTAACAACACTGCTGTGACACATGCAATGTCCTAAAGGTAAAACACCAAACCCCCCACCTTTTCTACAACTGATTTATGAACACAAGTCACATTTGGCTGCTGCATTATAAGGTTTCACACATCAATTGCTCCTAAGAAATCCCACCAAAGGATTCCTCCTCATAGGAGTTCCTCATCCAGCCCTGCACATGGGAGCAATGCACAGACCCGCTTTCCAATGGGAATGCCAGAACGACTGTGGGCTTAGTAAGTTCTTGTCCCTCCATGCTCCCAGCTCACCACCTATGGGGAACACTGACAAGCTGCCTGCTACTTAACTGAGAGCACATTCCACTGCTTTGGCTGGTCAGAAAGCCTTTGAGTGCCAAAAGTGAACTGAAAAACTGAAGAGGTTTTCTCACCTCAGGCAGATGGGATCAGATCACCCAGAAACAGGTGCTGTGAAACTTGCTGGGATGGGGTTAGGAATTCTCCAACCCGTGGTATTTAATCTCATTGCTCCTAGAGACACACAACGGTGCAACAGGAGAGTTGGGTGATAGAGACGAGTATGTTTGACTCCATTTTACCTTACAAAAGAAGGAACATACTGTGTGTTGCTGTAACTCAACCTCCACGTCCTGCTAACTGAATTCTGCTGCTCACATCAACAGGTTCCTCTTCCCTCCACACCACACCAGAGCAACCTGTGCCCTGGCCAGAACTGCACTTTGCTGTAGAGGAGGTAAAACAGCTCAGGATTTAACCTACATCCATTGACAGTTTCACTTTAAGGTGCAATTCCTACACAAGAACAACAGCACTTGAGTGTGTTTATTTGTTTTTACTAAGAATTTTGGTACCAATGCACAAATGCAAGTTTTAGACACTCAGAAAAACTCCAAAACAACCCAACAAACCTCACGCACACACCCCCCCCTCCCCAAACTCTTGAGCTTTGCTTCAGAGTACTGTAAAAATAACACTGATTTCTGTGCTTGAGCATTTACATAGTAAATAAACAGCAGAAAACCTAAAGGCCTGGAGGAGAAACTCCTGGTAAGTAAAAACTGAAGGCAGAGCCGCAGGAAATGACTACTGGAATGGCGATTGGCAACTGCCTGGGTTCAGCATAGAATTGTCTTGAAACTGCTCTTAAGTAGCTGAAGAACTCCTGTATTGGTCTATCTGCCTCTAAACAGAGAAGACCAAAGTTCATCAGCAGCTTTATTTCTGTGCTTGACTTTTTTAACCCAATATAAACCAGTCAGGTTTTGGTTCACCCTTAGAACACACCATATTGCTTTCATGTAAGCCATAGAGCCCATAAATACATCTGTTTTCACAGCAGACTTCACCGCCTGGCAGGTTTGGGCATTATGAACACCTTGACAGGTTTGCTGAAGGGGATGGTTCCCTCTATGCCATTTTCAGATGGTGGGAGAGTCTCCAAGCTCTCGTTCCAGGCAGATTTGGGCACTTTAGCAGCTGCCTTGCTCCGGTTGGAATTGTAAGCCAGCAGCAACCGCACTTCAATCTGACAGGGCTCTGCAGAGGAAACAGAACAACCCAAAGATGACTCATGGAGCTCAACCAGGCCAAGGGCAAGGTCCTGCCCCCGGGTCGGGGCAATCCCAGCACAAACACAGGCTGGGGGAGACTGGATGGAGCAGCCTGAGGAGAAGGACTTGGGGTGCTGGGTGAGGAGAAGCTCCCCATGACCCGGCTTCAGTGTGTGCTTGAGCCCAGAACCCCCCCGTGTGCTGGGTGCACCCCCAGAGCGTGAGCAGCAGCTCAGGGAGGGGATTTTCTCCCTTTAGGGAGTAAAGAACTGCAGCACTGCTCCAGCCAAGGCACCACCAGCACCAGACAGAACACAAGGAATAACCTTTTTCCATGCTTATCCCATAGTTCAGCCAGCACCTCCCTGAGACTCCCCTGTTCACCACACCATCAACTCTTACTTGTAGCTTGAAGTTGTCTCTCTCTCTTCTGCTCTTCCAACATCAGTTAACATGTGCTTTGTATTTGGGTGTTCTCCTCCCTAAGCACGCACTTACCACTGGCCTTCAACAAGTTTTGCCTCGAATTAAGGCAAGTTCCCCATTCTGAATTCTGCCTCTGTGTCCTGCCCCTCCCCAGCTTGTGTCCTCCCCACATTTCATACACCTAAGTGCCAGTGTCAGTGTTAACAGTTAAAGTAATGGCATGAGGAGACACCAGAAGAGAATCCCAGACTGGTTTGGGTTGAAGGGACCTTAAATCTCATCCAGTTCCAAGCCCCTGCCCCTCCACACCTTCTACTAGAGCAGTTCTTTAAAGACCTGATCATCCCTTGGGGCCATACTTAAAATGCCCTTACAGTGAAATGAGGACTTGATTTAGCTCCCTTTGCTACCTTTAAATCCAGATACCTCCAGTCTAGGAACAATACCGGTTTTCCCTCTGCAAACCAAGCTAGCAGGATGAACGAGTACACCAGGGAAATGCTACATCAAAAGGAGCATGTGAAAGAACACAGCACTAAAGAAAACTCTTGTTGGTTAAAACCCCAGCACCAAACCCTATTTATAACCACTCAGAAAATAAACTGCTCAAATAAACCCCACATCTGAATAAACGTGAAGGGATTAAAAAGGAAACAGGACAAAGGGAGCTGTGAGCAAATCCTCTGCTTTTGTTGTTTGAAGTCCACAAGCCAATTACTGAAGCACTTCCATGGGGACATGCGGATGCCAACTGAGACTGAGCGGGAATGCCAGAGCATTTCAGCAGAGCCAAAGGGTGGGTTTCTTAGAGCATTATTGAAAGGGTGAAGGTTTAATCAGCACTGGAAACGTGCTCTTGGGTATACACAGTTCCAAAGGCTCCTGCCATGCTCAGATACCTGTCAGATCTAAAGCAGTGAATCACAGTGAGTCAGCTTACCATGACTACCTGCCCTTAAATGAGACCTGCCTCCTACAACTGATCTTGCTCTGCACAGACATGGGTGATGTCCTGCCCTGGTTCAGCTGGGAGAGAGTTAATTTTCTTCCTCAAACATGTGCTGCTCTGTAAAGGCCCCCAACTCATGGCAAGCACCTTCTCTCCCACGACAGCAGCCCCTCCACTCACCTACAGAGCAGCAGTATCCTGTAAACCAGGGGAGATACTGCTCAAAGGCTGCAAGAACAAAGTCTGAGCAACTAAGGGCAGCACCACCAACAGCTGCAGGCTCCAGGATCCCAAAAATCCTTTGGTGAGGCACTAGAACAGGCTGCCCAAGGAAGTTGTGAATGCTCCATCCTTCACAGTGTTCAAGGCCGTGTTGGACACAGTGCCCGTGCCCGTGGCAGGGTTTGGGATTGGAGGAGCTTTAAGGTCCCTTCAACCCAAACCACTCTGGGATCCTGTCCCCAAGACTGTGGACATGCACATCTATGTGCAGGAGACTGGGATCAAGCAAGACATGATGTTGTCTTAGAGAACCACAGCAACACAATCACATGAACTTGTAGCAGCAACATTACCTGTCCAGGCTGTGTGCGAGAGGTAAACCTGAGTTATCAGCCTGTGCCTCCCCGGGCCAGGGTTTCGGAAGTCAGCTGGTTTAGGATGGATGAGCTGTGCTTGTCCATCTGGATACAGCACCTAGAGGGGGTAAAAATACAACATGAAACAACTGAATGACAACTGGACTGGGTGTGCTGTGCTGGTGGCTTCTGTTTGAGTCTGGAAGGTAAGAAGGTGTGCTTGGAGCCAGGAGTCCAGCTCCCTGGATGTAACAGCCACACAGTGGCCATCCAGACCCACAGCAGAGGTGGAAAAAAAGCCATCTGCTGACATCAGCTCTTCCTCTGCATTGGAAACAGAGGGGTTTGTTTCTCTGCTATCAGTGAATTCATGCATTTTACCTGGCATCACACCACCCCCACCTCCTCAGCTGCATTTGAAACCAGTGGCTCAGCAGCAGGTAGAAAGTTAAGTTGTAAACACAGAGAGACAAGAGCCTGCACAGAATCCCAGACTGGTTTGGTTTGAAGGGACCTTAAAGCTCATCCAGCTCCAACCCCTGCCACAGACAGGGACACCTTCCACTAGAGCAGGTTGCTCCAAGCCCCTGTGTCCAACCTGGCCTTGAACACTTCAATACCTCTGGACCATTCACAACAGCTCCTTTTGCTCCTCCTCTTCCCACTCCTCACGCTGGAAGTTCAGCAGCATTTATTTGTGCTCATGTCCATACCATGCTCCATGTGTGGGGAAGCACAATGTGGAGCACAGAATGACATCAAAGTGCTCAAAGCAAACTCTCAGGAGCTGCACACAAGCCAACCCAGAGCACTATGTACAGACTGAGTGTGGGGCCAAACCCCAGAAATCCAACATTGTTACTAATATGAGTAAACTTAGAAGTATTGACATCAAACTCCCCCTAAGGCACAGTGACGTTTGGATCTATGTCAAGCAACTGCTCACCTGAACTTTAACAGTTCCTTGGGGATCCTGCACGTGTTCCAGAGTTGCATCAACATCCAGAGCCACCACCAGCCCCGAGGTAAACCTCAGGGGATTGTCAGATTCACCAGTGGGCTCGATGATATTCGCAGTAGCTCTGTGGAGCTGTTGGGGGAAAGAGGTCAGCAAAAATAAGGAGGTGAAGGGAAGAGGAAAGAGAAGAAAATACAATCATTGCTGTTCCTCATGGAGAAGTTGTGGGTTGGAACGAGATAATCTTAAGGTCTTTTCCAATCCAAACCATTCTATGATTCTATGAAGTTTGGATTCTTTTAGATACTGGCAGGAATTAAGTCTTCTATGTATTTAGCAATAGTGCTGGGGATGGTAGGTAAGAAGAAGAAAGCCTTTGAAGACAGACTGACCAAGAACCTGAACTCTAAAAGCTTCATGGTATATTAGGAAACAGTTATATTCAAAGACAGTCCACAGGGATGTTGCATTTAATTCTCTGTGTTGATCTGACCTGCTCTGGAAGAGGAAGGTGGAGGAAGGTGCTTTGTCGCAGCGTTGTCTGAAGAATCTTGACCACTTCTGAAGGTTTGGATGTCACAAGTCTGGGCATTAAGTCCAGCAGTTTATCCACAAAACTGCCCTGCATGTGTGGGAGCTCAGAGATGAAACATCTGTGTCCAGAATAAATGAAAACCAAACACTTTTCTCAGCATTTTCAACATTACTCATTAAACACATTGTGTTATTCAACACTCTGGTTATTTCCAGCCAAGCTACTTATAGAATCATGAAGCCACAGCGTGGTTTAAGGTCCCTTCCAATACAAAGCTCACCTAGTCCCAGTCCCCTGCCATGGGCAGGGACACCTTCCACTAGAGCAGGTTGCTCCAAGCCCCTGTGTCCAACCTGGCCTTGAACACTGCCAGGGATGGGGCAGCCACAGCTTCTCTGGGCACCCTGTGCCAGCGCCTCAGCACCCTCACAGGGAAGAGCTTCTGCCTCAGAGCCCATCTCAATCTCCCTTCTGGCAGGTTAAAGCTGTTACCCCTTGTCCTGCCACTACAGTCCCTGATGAAGAGTCCCTCCCCAGCATCCTTGTAGCCCCCTTCAGACACTGAAGCTGCTCTGAGGTCTCCACGCAGCTTCTCTTCTCCAGGCTGAACAGCCCCAATGAGATGATCTTAAGGCCCTTCCCAACCTGAACCACTCCATGATTCTATGATCCAGACTGTGGCATTCATCACTGCCTGTGGAATTTCCTGAGAAATAGGGATGAGTTTTGGTGATCCTGTGACTCGGTGCAAGGAAGAGACACAAAGCAAATGAGCCGTCCTGGTCACCAGCTCCCCAGTGAGCTAAGCATTAGGCAATGGGTAGATTTGGTTCCCTTTTCTCATCACTTAAGCAGCTACAACTGCAAAGCAAATCCTGAATAGACAGGAAGTTAATCAGAACTAGAGATGGAATTCTGCTCAGCCAACTCTGGATACCTGCACCTCCAGCCTAGCTACCCAATTCCCCTCCAAGTCGATGGAAAAACACTGGGCATCCCTGTTTGACTTATTTTAGCCACCTCGATCAGGAATACAATGAAAGCAGCACCTCTCCAGTGAGAGGAGAGCTGGGTGAGGGCTTCAGAAACAGTGACCATACAAACACCAATGTCTGGGTGAGATGACTCCCACCCTGAGCACCAGATTGTTCACTCACTCTCATTTACAATTTAGATACTTGTCATAAAGGTAAATTCCTTTTTATTGTCATATTCCCACGAGAACTCTTCCTTTGATCCCACATTTAGAAGGGAGTTTACTTCTTGGTTTATCATCCCCAATGTGGGACATAAAAAGGGGAAAGGAGATGCAAAGAGATGAAAACCAAATGGAACATTCCCCAACGACAAGGAGGGGGGGGGATTTTCTAACATGAATTGAAGAAGCAACAGAGTTTCTCACCTCTGAAAGGAATCCACTTCTTGCAGGAACTTCTCACACATCCCAAAAAGAGGTTCCACTCTGCAAGGAGAATATTCCTTGGCTTAGTTTTAAACAAAGAGAACTGGCTCTGTGGCTCTAAGCATTTTGGTGTGTTGGAAACCAGTTCAAGCTCCTAAATACTTACAGTCTGGAGGCCAGAAGAGTGTTCCCCATGAGAGAAGAAAAGAAAACTAGTTGCCATCTCCGTCCCCAAATGCATAACCCCTCCCCACAAAGTCAGCTGCATAAAGCACTAATGATGTTCCCAAAGCCACTGTTAAAGAAATAATAACTTTCCCCCTATAAAACAAGAGGTTAAAAGGCAAATATATAACAGAGCTCTATGGCAACACACTGAAGTGATGGCACCAAACTGAAAACAGAAGAAATATTTACCCACTTTGCTCCAATTCCCCCTAATTCTACACCCACGTGGAACTTCATTGACCTCAGCAGCCAAAATGAACCACATGAAGCCTCCAAAACTTGCTAAAACGCAACAACTAATACTTCATGAAGCCCCCATTAGTGCATTCTTTAATACACGACTTAAATACATCCCAAATATCAACTCTACAACATTTTTAACCTGTTTTTATGTTGACAATGAAGAGAACTCAACCCCCAAAACACATCTTCCTCATAAACTTGTCATTTACTTTAGTATTGGGCATTATGAGTATTTATAGTACTTATTTAAATAGCATTTCTACTGCAGATATAAAGGCAGAAGAAGGCTCTTCAGTCTGAATTATTTAGCTAATGGTTACTGGCACGCTCTGATGTTTTATGTGCCCAATTTATCCTTGATGGGTTTTAACCACAGCTTAAGGAAACTGAGCTTAGAGTTAACCCCCTGAAGATCCTTTCCTCAGGTCATCCTTACCCTCTGGTGGTACGTGCAGTCACTATCAGCTGTAAGGCCTTTGCCTGCAGTCTCATGTGGTGGATGATGACCACTTGTCTGCTTTCCACCCCGCTGTACATGAACTCCATTTTGTAGGTTTCTTCCAAGATCTGACCAAGAGACACCACAGGGATAAGAAACCATCAGTTTCTGTTAAACTCTGAGTACACTCGGTGAGTTTTGCTGATGACACCGAGCTGTGTGGTGCAGTCGACAGACTGGAGGGAAGGGATGGGATCCAGAGGGACCTGGAGAGATGGGACCGTGTGAACCTCATGGAGTTCAACAAGGGCAAGATCCTGCCCCTGGGTCGGGGCAATCCCAGCAC